TGTTCCTGCCTCGTGATCGTGATATCCGGGCCGTCGCCTCGATGTCCATCGCAGCGGGTTGCAATGTTGCTGCGCTACCCGCCCCGCGATGCCGTCGAACGCCCCTCGAGCAGGAACGCGCGGGAGAGAAACAGGGGCTCGAGCAGATAGCAATCGAAGCCCGGTGCTGGTTTGGAAGGAGGAGCGATGAAAGCGCCATGCGGCATAAGAAGCCAGGGCGCACGTCAAAGCAGCAAGTTGCCGCATTACGTCTGGCCCGAGACTTTGCAGCAATAGCCATCAGGAAAACAAGCGACAGAAGCCTTGTGGTCTCCCTGAGGTCAATGTGCCAAAACGGAGGTCTCACGGTCGAGCGTTGACTGCGAGTATACGTACATTGTTGTTTCGCCCGTCTGTTAAAGTCTTCCGGATGTCCCCCTTGCTCTCATGACGCGTGCTGCTTAGCGCATTCGATGGCCACCACAGTGACCATGGCGACGGTTACACGATCGTCCCGCACCTGCGGCGGGTATACGGTCGCGCGCATGTGCGTGCAATTTATGTCAGTGCATCCGTCAGCGCACCACGCCGCACTCTCGACCCACAGCGTTTGAGAAGTAACAACGGGAGTGCGTGTGCGCGCGCCTTAGAGGCGGAGGTGCAAGGAAGGGCGCGTGCTCGAGCAAACGTCGGATGTGGCGTCGACCAACGCGACGACTCTCATGGAAGACGCCGAACAATGAGTTCGGCCCTTTTCCCTTCTCCCACGGCCAGGCACGCCAGCGGATCCCGCCACCGCCGCGCCGAACGTCCCGTGGTTGAGCACGCGATGTCCACGGGGCCCTCTGCCCTGCATATAGAGACCGGGGGGTAGGGCTGCCGTTGGCCTCGCGAGATCGAGCCGACACGGCGGTGGTCACTAATGCACATGTTGAGCGCAATGTTCTCCCCCATGTGACTGTCCAGCCCCGGTTTGGACCACGCTTTGGATGGGCCTCTTGCAGCGCCCCCGCGTCGTCCCCCGCTCCTTCGTGGTAAGTCAGAGGGCTGGCGGGATTGGAACAGTGTTTCGCACGTTGCGAAACTCCGTTCCGAGCCGTGCCTGTCCTGCTCTTCCTTCTTATTGAGGGGCAGTCGATGCGGGGCCCCTCGACGTACGATGTGAGTTAGAATGATGTCGTGGCTTTGAGACCCATTGAGCATGGCAAATGGCGGGGGGGGCGCATGCGGGCGGCGCCAGTGGGGCCTTTTGGTGGGGCCCCTTATGGGCCATGAAACGCTGTCCTGGATGTGGCTGGCGCATGTGGCCACCCCCACTGGGGTGGAGCTCCCCATGGAGCCGCGAAGCGCTGTACTGGGCGTGGCGGGCGCATGTGGCCCCCCCCACTGGGGCCGCAGATGGGGTTCCCTATGGGGGCAGAAAGCGCTGTACTGTATGTGGCGGACGCATGTGGCCACCCCCATTGTTTCTTTAGGTGGGGCCCCGTATGGGGCCACGCAGCGCTGTATTGGGTGTGGCGGACGCACGTGGCCACCCCCACTGGGCCGTTACGCGGGGCCCCCCGGGTGTGGCCACGAAACGCTGTGCCGGGCGCGGCGGACGCATGTGGCCACCCCCACTGTTTCTTTAGGTGGAGCTCTCGATGGGGCCCCGAAGCGCTGTACTGGGTGTGGCTGACGCATGTGGCCACCCCCATTGTTTCCTTAGGTGGAGTTCCTTATGGGGCCACGAATCGCTGTACTGGGTGTGGCGGACGCACTTGGCCACCCCCAGGTGGAGCTCCTTATGGGGCCACGAAGCGCTGTATTGGGTGTGACGGGCGCACGTGGCCACCCCCACTGGGGCCGCAGGTGGAGCCCCCTACCTGGCTCTATCAACAATTTCTTTGGACAATCGCAACCATATGTATATGTGCACGCGCTCATCGGCGACAAGAGTTGTCTCGCGCGCGTGCTCCGCGCTCGTGCGCGCGATATCGCAAGGCGCCCCCATGCCCGCAAAATGGCTCCAAGAGGGCCTGAGGCCACAGACGGCAACGTCCAGGCGACCCTGGGATGACGCCACCCCAGCACGATCCCGCCATGGATTCTGGACCGTCCCAGGCCGACTCGAAGATGACCTATCACATGAGCCACGAGTGACGCCGAGATGGCCCGATGGCAACAAGATGGATCCACGCGCGCCCAGCGTGGCCCCAGAATGAACACGACGGCTGCGCTATCCACGCACGACCGAGATATGATATCAAGCTGATCTCGAGACAACCCTGGCATGCCAGGAGTGCTGCAACTTCGGAGCTCCACCTCACTTTGAAACGATATTTACTTCCGATGTTTCCCGCAAGCCGTTCAACGGCCTGCCGCCGTCGTCCGCCTCGTTTTACTTCCGCCGGTTTCCGCTAATGGGCGACATGACGAACGTGCAAGGAACTTTCATTGGGCCGATGTATGGGGCCAGGAAACGCTGTACTGGGTGTGGCGAACGCATGGGGCCACCCCCACTGGGCACTTGCGTGCAGTTCCCGATGGGGCCACGAAGAGCTGCACTGGGTGTGGCGGACGCATATGGCCACCCCCACTGGGGCCGCAAATGGAGCTCTCTATGGGGCCACGAAACACCGCACTGGGTGTGGCTGGCGCATGTGGCCACCCCCGCTGGGGTCGCAAATGGAGCTCCCTATGGGGCCACGAAACGCTGCACTGGGTGTGGCGGACGCATGTGGCCACCCCCGCTGGGGCCTTAGGTGGAGTTCCCTATGGGGCCACGAAGCGCTGTAATGGGTGTAGCGGGCGCATGTGGCCACACCACCTGGGCCCTTAGGTGGAGCTCCCTATGAGGCCACGAAGCGCTGTACTGGGCCTGGCGGACTCATGTGGTCACCCCCACTGGGGCCTTGGATGGGGCCCCTTATGGGGCCTCGAAACGCTGTATTGGGTGTGGCGGACGCATGGGGCCAACCCCACTGGGGCCTTAGGTGGAGCTCCCCATGGGGCCAGGAAGCGCTGTACTGGGTGTGGCGGACGCATGTGGCCACCCCCACTGGGGCCGCAAATGGAGTTCCTTATGGGGCCACGAAACACTGCACTGGGTGTGGCGGGCGCATGTGGCCTCCCCCGCTGGGGCTTAGGTGGAACCCCCATATGGGGCCAGGCAACGCTGTACTGGGTGTGGCGGACGCATGTGGCCACCCCCACTTGGGCCGTAGGTGGAGTCCCTTTATGGGGCCACGAAACGTTGCACTGGGTGTGGCGGACGCATGCGGCCACCCCCGCTGGGGCCCTTAGGTGGAGCTCCCTATGGGGCCACGAACTGACGCATGTGGCCACCCCTTAGGTGGAGCTCCCTATGGGGCCACGACGCGCTGTACTGGGTTTGGCGGACGCGTGTGGCCACCCCCACTGAGGCCGTAGGTGGAGCCCCCTTTGGGGCCTCGAAACGCTGTATCCGGTATGGCGGACGCATGGGGCCAACCCCATTGGGGCCTTAGGTGGAACTCCCCATGGGGCCGGGAAACGCTGTAGTGGGTGTGGCGGACGCATGTGGCCACCCCCATTGGGGCTTTAGGTGGAGTTCCGTATGGGGCCACGAAGCGTTGCAGTGGGTGTGGCGGGCGCATGTGGCCACCCCCACTGGGGCCTTAGGTGGAGCCCCTTTATGGGGCCACGACATTCTGTACTGGGTGTGGCGGACGCATGCGGCCACCCCATTGGGGCCTTAGGTGGAGCTGCTTATGGTGCCACGAAGCGCTGCACTGAGGGGGGGTGAACCGCAGAGGGGGAAGGAGGAGGGGGGAGGGGGAGGAGGAGGGAGGAAGGGGAGGGAGGAGGAGGAGACTCGGGGACCGTCTCTTCTAAACGAGGACCCAATACCACTGGATGGTTGGGAAAAGTGGCCCTCCCAAGAGGTAAACGTAGGAGCCGAAAACACGATTGTCGTCCGTCGCGGCATTGGGCCCAAGCAGGTTCATTCGATGCTCTCGCGCCCTTGTCCCCAGGGTGGTGCGGACGACGTTGGCCTTGCCCACGTGCGTGCCCAAGCGCGAGAGCAAAAACTTCCTCACGGGATACACGTGGGTCTCTCCAGTGCTACAATTCTGCAATTTGTTGCAACCACCACGAGACATCATCACATAGTGCCAGCACGATACTTTGACGCAGCCCCTTGACAACGCGTCCACCCCACCGTGGCATCTCCTTGCCCCCCCGCAGAACGACGAAGACGCATGAAGATTTCACGGATGAGGAATTGGATCGCGATCTTGGTGTCGGTTGGGTTGGATTTGATGTTCTTGGAGCTCGAGGGAACCATCTCCTGCACCACGTGGCCCATTTCGAGAACGATGATGAGATGCCTCCACAATGGAACAATAGACCGAACACACGACACGATCGGGTCCACGGACGCCAGCGTACCAGAGACGAGACGACCGCGCCCATCGTCGAGGGCCGTGGCCGCGAGGGCGCCTTCGAAAGCGGCGGCCTCGCGCAGGGTCTGCGCGAAGCCCGCCGCATGCGCGCGGCGCTCGATGGCATCGCCATCGCACTCGACGGCAGGGCCTGGGCCATCGCGGGGAGACGCGGAGGATGGCGCTGCCATCGCGGCAGGAGTGGAGGAGGAGGGAGGCGAGGAGGAGCGATGAGGGAGGAGGGGGGAACCGATGGAGCGGAAGGGGGGGGGGGGAAATGGGGGGAGCGGAGGCGGGATGAGGGAGGAAGCGCGACGGCGGGAGGGGCGGCTGGCGCGCGCGCGTGGCGGCTCGGGCTCGCGCGGAGATGCGCGACGCCGAGGGGAAGGCCCGCCCATTCTGGGCCCGTCTTGGGCCCGCTCTTGGCCCGTTCTGGGCTTGGGCTTGTTCTGGACCCGTTCCTGAGGCCCGTTCTGGCTGGTTCTGGACCCATTATGCGCATGGGTTTGTCTAAGTCCGCTCTGGGCCCATGGGCCTCTAGAGCCCGCAAAAGCCTCTCAACATGTGTGCAAAACAAAGATGACGTAGAACACACGGTAAACCAACACAACGTCACACATTTAAGCAACAACATTGCGCGACGGGGGGGTCCGTAGCCATTTGGATTTACGCCATTTTAGCGCAAGTCATTCTCGCTCGAGCTCGCCCAGCTCGGGCGCCCTCCTGGGTGCGGCCGCATGGCTGGGACGGACCAGGGGCAGGAGCGCATGCTGCTGAATGACGCCAGCGACGAGGACTCCGACGCGACTTCTTGGGGCAAGAGGTTCTTTCGGGTCGAGGCTGCCTGGTGCTGTTGCATCGCTGGACTGGTGGGGTTGTGCTGCCTGCTCCTCGCTGCGTGGGTCCGTGGCAATCCCGGGGATACGTGCCTGGCGTTCGATCAGTGCCCCGAGTGGCCGCTGCCCTATGAGCACGGTGAGTACCCTCTGGACTATGCCAACCGTTCAGTGAGTCTTCCTTTCCCGGAAGGCTTTGTTTGGGGAATGGGCACTGCCGCCTACCAGATCGAGGGTGGCTACCGCGACGGCGGCAGGGGCGCTTCCATCTGGGACACGTACACGGGTGCAAACACGGTGGGCATGCCGGGTTCCAATTGTTCTTATTGTTGCAAGGAGGCGCCGTGTTCCATCAATGACGGGATGAAAAGCCGAGGTGCTACTGGCAATGTTGCGTGCAACCATTACCACGATTGGAAGAAGCACATTGCTCTGATGAAGTCAATGGGTCTGAGGCACTACCGTTTCAGCATTTCTTGGCCCCGTGTTCTGCCCACGGGTCGGCTAGAAGATGGTGTCAATGATGAGGGAATCAAGTTCTATAATAACCTCATCGACGGCCTGCTTGAGGCGGGCATCACGCCGTATGTTTCATTGTACCATTGGGATCTGCCGCAGGGCTTGCTCGACCCCCCTTCGAAGCTAGGATGGTGGTCCTTTGACGCCCAGACCCTGCAGCCGACTGAGCAAATTACAAAGCATTACGTCGACTACGCAAACACTTGTTTTAGCAGCTTCGGTGACAGGGTAAAGTTTTGGACCACCTTCAACGAACCATGGACTTTCTTGTATTTAGATCATGCGCCCAACGTGGAACCCTTCAAGCAGAATTCCAGCTACGTTGCCGCTCACAACGTGCTCCTGGCACATGCTGCTGCGGTCCAGCTGTATCGGAGCGATTTCCAGAAGTCTCAGGGAGGCGTCATCGGGATCACGCTCAACCAGGACTGGAGCGAGCCTCGCACCACAGATCCTCAGGACGTGGCGGCGGGGGAGCGTATGCGGCTTTCGCAGGTGGGGTGGTTTGCCGAGCCCATCTTCTCGGGCACTGGCGACTACCCGACGGAGTTGAGGCGACTCTTGGGAGACAGACTGCCCAGGTTCACACAGGAGCAGCGCGAGCTCATTAACGGGAGCGCGGATTTTTTCGGACTCAATCATTATGGGACCAATTGGGTTTCGAACAACAATGAAGGCGTCGCTGGATGGTTGGATGCTTACGCTGACGTTAAGTCCGATGGCTTCGAGCAGGGGCAGTCTTCCTGGTTGCATGGCGGTGCTTTTGGGTTCCGCAAGTTGTTGAATTGGATCGATCGCCGATACAATTCTCCAGTTATTTATGTCACGGAGAGCGGTTGGTCGATGCTGGCCAACACCCCTGCCACGGGCGTACAGGACGCACAGCGCCTGGGCTACTACCTCAATTACACTACCGAGCTCCAGCGAGCCATCAACGAGGATGGGATAGACGTACGGGGCTATTTCGCCTGGTCGTTCATGGACAATTTTGAGTGGGCGATGGGCTACACGGAGCGTTTTGGGGTCACATACGTGGATTTCGCTTTCGGAAACGACCCCAATTCGCCGACAGACCAACAGCATCAGCCAACCACTCACGGACAGAAATTGTACCGAAAGATGTCCAGTTGTTGGCTCCAGGCTTTGATGGCCTCCAACGCTGTTGTTGGTCTCGACGATGCTGTGTTTCAGAAGTGTAATGCGTCACTGGCAGTGTGAGTACGTCGGTAGCTCAAGGCAACGGTATTCGGGTTGGGCGTGAGAATTGATCACATGTCGTTCGGCGTATGTTGTCAGCTCATGTTGGTTCATACTTTCAGCTTCTTCTGAACTCCATGCGGGTGCCGAACCATGTTCGAATTCGTGTGGATCCACGCCACGCTTGCCCAGTCGAAGTCATGTCAGTTTTCTAGGCGCCTGCTTCGGCGAACGTGCACCCTGCTTTTCAAATCAGAGCTTGCCTCTGCAGGGGTCCTAGCGGATTCATATTGTTAGCTGAGGTGCGTCGGGATTTTTGGCGGCCCGCCCGGGTGCCCCGTAGCCCTAGAGCCCTATAGCCTTATAGCTAATCGCTTGACCCTTCATTCGGGTGACTAGGGAGACCCCCTTGAATTCAGCTCGCGACCACCTCGGCGGGGTGGATGGCGGGGCGCAAATACAAACCGGTCCGCCCCGGGCAGCGCACCGGCTGCCGGGCGGCCCGTCGTCCGAGGGGGTCCGCTGCAGGGCGGAGCGCCGAGCGGGTCTGACGGCCGCCGTCGGTGCGCAGGGAAGTCTTGGCCGCCCGGGCGGCGGAGCCGCGCGCGGAGAAAGGTTCAGCTCGCGACTCGCGGTTGCTCAAGCTCACCCGCTTGCTCTTGTCCGCGGGCACACAGTGTTGATCGAAGGCTGGTCTCGTGGAGGCTGTCAACGCCATGTCTTGTTCCCTCGCTGAGGCTGGTGGAGCTACCCGATTGCCTGCATCTTCCAACACAAGTGATCCTGCCGAAGGACCCAATCACATGTAGTTGTGAGCAACGCGTTGTGGGTGCCGCTTCCGGTGGGTCATGCAACACGTGATGGGGCGTGCCATAATAATGGGTGGGGGACGCATGCGGGCGGTCCCACTGGGGCCTTCGGTGGAGCTCCCTGTAAAGCCACGACGCGCTGTTGTGGGTTGTGGAAAACGCATGCGGGCGGTCCCACTGGGACCTTCGGTGGAGCCCCCATATGGGACTACGAAACGCTGCACTTTGTGGGGGGCACGCATGCACTGGGACCTTCGCTTGAGCTCCCTATGGGGCAACGAGGCGCTGTACTGGGTGGGGCGGACGCTGGCGGTGCCACTGGGACCTTCGCTGGATCTCCCTATGGGGCCGCAGAACGCTGTACTGGGTGGGGGGGGACGCACGCGGGCACCCCCAGTGGGGCCTTCGGTGGAGCCCCCTTTATTGGGCCACGGAGCGCGGTACTGGGTGCGGCGGACACATGCGGGCGGTCCACCTGGGGCCTTCGGTGGAACCCCCACAGGGCCACGAAGCGTTGTACTGATTGTGGCGGGCGCACGCGGGCGGTCCCACTGGAACATTCGGTGGAGCTCCTTCTGAGGCCACGGAAGGCTGTTCTGGGAGTGGTGGGCGCGTGCGGGCGGTCCTATGGGACCTTCGCTGGAGCTCCCTATGGGGCCGCGAAACGCGGTACTGGGTCTAGGCCTTCGGTGGAGCACCCTATGGGGCCACGAAACAGCTGTAGTGGGTGTGGCGGACGCATGCGGGCACCCCCACTAGGGCCTTCGTTGGAGCTCCCTATGAGGCCACGACGCGCTGTACTGCGTGTGGCGGGCGCACGGGGGCGTTCCCAGTGGATTTTCGGTGGAGCTCCCTATGGGGTCACGAAGCGCTGTACTGGGTGTGGCGGACGCATTCGGGCCCCCCCCCCTGTGGCCTTCGGTGGAGCTCCCTATGGGGCCACGAAGCGCTGTACTGGGTGTGGCGGACGCATGCGGACACCCCCACCGGGGCCTTCGTTGGAGCTCCCTGTGGAGCCACGAAGCGCTGTATTGTGTTTGGTGGACGCACGCGGGCACCCCCGCTAGGGCCTTCGGTGGAGCTCCCCATGAGGCCACGCAGCGCTGCACTGGTTGTGGCGGGCGCATGCGGGCTGTCCCACTGGGTCCCTACGAGGCTACGAAGCGCTGCACTGGCGGGGTTGACGCACGCGGGCCCCCCTAGTGGTGCCTTCGGTGGAATTCCCTATGGGGCCACGAAGCGCGGTATTGGGTGTGGCGGACGCGTGCGGGCACCCCCACTGGGGCATTCGGTGGAGCTCCCTATGGGGCCACGAAGCGCTGTACTGGGTGTGGTGGACGCACGCGGGCACCCCCCGTGGGGCTTTCGGTGGAGTCCCCTATGGGGCCACGAAGCGCTGTACGGAGCCTTCGCTGGAGCTCCCTAGGGGTTCTACGAAACGCTGTACTGGGTGGGGGGGGGACGCACGCGGGCACCCCCATTGGGGCCTTCGGTGGAGCTCCCTATGGGGCCACAGAACGCTGTACTGGGTGTGGCGGACGCACGCGGGCACCCCCATTGGGGCCTTCGGTGGAGCTCCCTATGGGGCCGCGACGCGCTGTACTGGGTGTGGCGTACGCATGCGGGCACCCCCGTTGGGGCCTTTGTTGGAGCTCCGTATGGTACCACGAAGCGTATGAGGGGTGTGCCAAAGTGGGGGTTGGGACGGGAGGAGGAGGAGGAGGAGGAGGAGCAGGAAGAGGAGGAGGGGGAGGAGGAGGAGGGGAGAGGAGGAGGAGGAGGAGGGGGAGAGGAGGAGGAGGAGGAGATGAGAGGAGAGGAGAGAAGAGGAGAGGGGAGGAGAGGAGAGGAGAGGAGAGGAGAAGAGAGGAGGAACGCGGGGGCCGCCTCTTCAAACGGAGACCCAACACCACAGGACGGCTGGGGAGAGGCGGCCCCATCTTTGGGAAAAGGGGGGCATATATGGGACCGATGGGGAGTCAAACAATGGGATCGGTATTCGGTCATAGCGGGCGCATGCTTGCGCCCGCCATTTATACAGAGATATTGTTGGGACGTCTTCACCATACTCTGGCTCATTCAGTTGAGTGGCCCCATGCGACTCAAGAGAGACCATGTATACCAACTGCTTCAGGACCACAACATTTCTGACAACTTCTATAGGCAACCACCTTTCCAGCAATGGCTTGCACCAGCTGGAGAGGTTGACCCGCAGCACATGTTCGATATCTTTCTTAACTTCCGTGGAGCGCGAGGAGACCTTGCACTGGTCACGTCCCACCAGGTCGCGGCCAACGCAGAAGAGGCCATTGCGGTCCTCGACAACAGAATCAGGAGCGCTGGAGCTGCCGACCGGCGACGCCCCGACCCAGGACGCGCACCCAGACGCAGGACCCAGGCAAGTGGCCCTTACCAAGTCCCTGCCTCCATGACGCAACCAGCACCGCCGATTCAGTCAATCCCCGCCCCCGCCACGCAACCCCGACCTTCGCAACAGCAACCTGTCGCTCCCGTGCCGTTGACTCAGTCAATCCCCACCCCCGCCACGCAGCCCCGACATGCGCAGCAGCAACCTGCCACTCCCGCAGCTGCCTCCAGAGTGAGCGTCTTGACCTCTCCAGGAGACCACGCCATGACGGACATCCCCCTCCCCAACGTCTCCCCTGCCACCCCTCCCATTCCCGCTGAACCCCATCCACCGCAAGGCGCCCTTCCCCCCTCTCCCCGCTTAACAACGTCACGCAAACCACCCCGCAACCTCTGGTTGCCTCTCCCACCCATTCTCCAGCAACCGAGGCCTCTCCTAACGGGAGCAACCCTGCCGCCTCTGACCAGGTTCGCTTCCCAGCGCCCAGCTCCCAGGCCGCAGGCACTTCAGCACACGCGACACAGGGTCCTGACCGAAGAAAGAGACTGTCGTCACTCCCTGGCACAGGCGAGATTGATCCTGCAGAAAACCCACTCGGCAGGGCCGGCGGAGTTCCAGAAGGACCGAACCTCCTGTACACCATCAACACCAAGTGGGACGTGCTTCTCAAGAACACGAGGCGTGACCTTGGCCATTTGACAGAGGAGGTCAAGACTCCGCAGTTCACGGACAGAGCTGAGCATATCAATTTCTCAATGGACTGGCACACCTTCATGGCACTCCTCAAGTGGGGAACCACGATCGGCCAACTCCGCACACCAACCAAGAGGCGTTTCGAGTAATTTCGGCTGGGCGAGGAGAGTTTTACTTGCCTGTCAACTATTGGAACGAAGCTCGCCCCGGGGCGCGCTGGACGACCCGCATTACCACAACTCCGAGCTGGACTTGGCGATCGACAGTGCCAGCAGGACACATCGGAACAACCCTCGCGAGCCCGCCTCACCAGACGTGCCGTGCTCGTCACTGCCCTGGACGACCATGCGATGGATTGTACGCCAATCTGCTTTCAACATTGGGTCACCACGCAACGAGCACACGGACCTTGTCCGATTTTTTTACGCGCAACACGTCTTACAATTGGACGAGAGAAACATTCCAACCGACAGGCCGCCACAACCAGCCCCACTCCCTCCGCCAACGGCGCCGCTGCGAAGCTCACCCTGGACATTACCAACCCCGCCAATCATGATGCAACCCAACCAGAGACGCCGGTCACAGCCACGGGCCCACGGCCTAAAAGAGACGCGCAGCCGCCGAGCCCTCGTCAGCCGCGCGCAAGACGGGCGGCGAACCAAACTCCAGCACCCGCGCCGAAGGCACCAGCGCGAACAACTTGGGCCCCAAGGGCAGCTCGCGCTAAATCACCTGCCACACCGACCGAGGCGGATAGGCGCGGGACGAGACGTCCTGCCTTAGTTTTCGTACAAACGGTGCTTTCTCCACTGGCCAAACGAGCGACGCGACCAGCCAGCGGAGCGGCGTCAGCAAATGTCCGCTCGTCGAGACAACAGCCCGCCACTGAGGTTGTCGAAGAACCCAGCTCTCCCCCGAATTCAAGCGACCTGCTTCAGCGCGCCTGGCCCAGACACGCCGGCCCAACCACTGGAAGACCACCAGGTAGCACTCGAGGACCCGATGGTCATTGACGCAACCCATGACCTCGCCAGACAAGGGGTCTTCGTAGCACACGACGTCGGGGTACACGACGGCCGAGTGACTGGCCAGGCGACGCCAGCAGCGCAAGTTTCCACGAGCGACTTCCAACGACGACCTGACCCAACCATTCTCCACAATGGCCAGAACACAGGCGACCTCAGCGCATTACTAACCAATCGAGGAGGGCGGCAGGGTCGGTCGTTGAATGCGGTGTCTTTGTTCGACGGGGCGGGGGCAGCCAGGTGCGCAGTGGGGGGCCCACTACATCGGATGGGGCGCGCCGATCTCTCCAGCACCTCCAACCGCGTAGAACACTACGCCAGCATGGTACAAAGGGGTACACAGCACTGGGAACGCTCTGAGACACTGGCGCGGGGCGGCCGACCGCTCCGAATCCTCGCTTCGGACGCGCGGGACCTCTGCAGCAGGGCGCCGGGTGCTGAGACGACGGTGTGGGAACATGTCGTCTTCGCCCTGGGGCCCAAAGCCCCCCTCCTGATCGTTGGGGGCAGCCCGTGCAATTATCTGTCGCGCGCAGGGTCTCGACGCGGCCAGGACGGCTAAGCCGGGGACAAGTTAGTCCACTTATTCGCTATTCCCCCGGCGTGGTCCTTCGCCAAATGCTACCGCAACGACATCACTGCACGCGTGGTCGTTGAAAACGCGGGCTCCATGCGCAAACCACACCGGGATGGCATGCGGATAGCCATGGGCGAGGACCCAGACGACTGGGCGGTCAGGGTCGACGCGGGGAAATGGGTGGTCAGCCCGAGAGACAGGCTATGGTCTGGCTCCTTCCCTAGGTCCGACCTCGACCTGCACTTCCCAAGGCTTCGCTCCCCTTGGGGCAGCGGATGGGCCTTCCATTTTGAAGGTGCAGTTCCGACATGGACCAGGTCTCGTGGGGGCCCCGACGAGGCGCTACCATGTTGCCTTTTGGTGCATTCCAAACATGTGTTCTATCGCTCCAACTGCAGCC